ACTGAGGTTAGCAATACCTCCTATAAACAGAGCTGGTCAGAAAGAAGCTGTATTAGTGATGTCTCTTGGTCTGCACTGCAGGCTGCCATCCTAAGGTCAGATTGTACTTGTCCCCTTCTCCTTGCTGATCCACCATTACCTCCTGCCAGGCCAACTGGCCTTCACCAGGAGCTGTAACCCAGGAGCAGGAATAACAGCAAATACTTTGTATAAAATGAAATGCTTTTATCTGTTCAAAGAACATTAAAAGAGATAGGAAAAATTTTAAAATAAGAAAACCCTAAAACTAATGTCTTATCTAAAGTAAATTTTTCTCATTAGTGTAGGTATGTTCCAAGTTAGCCCAGGTACTTAAAGCTATTTAGTTGCACTTCTTTCTGATTTAAACTGGAGGGTTTGTAAATATTAGATAGAGCTCAAAACAACTATTCTTGTATCTGTGCTTTATTGCCAAAGGCTTTACCTGTATGAATAAATTAAACATGCTCAGGCACATTTCCAGACACTGAAATCTCTGACAGGGAGCAGCCTGTGCATGTGCTTGCAGGCCAAGCAGGATACAGCAGATAGATACCTACTATTTGAAAACTGAATCAGACCCAGTATCTCTCAGTAATGGTGACCTGAGAGACCCAATTAAACTACCTTTTTTTTAACACGTCAAAATTTATGTCAGCAAATAAGAGTAACAAATAATTACCATCATCTGCATGCATGAGGCTTTTTGCTGGTGTGCAAAATACCTCCTCTAAACATCAAAGCCAAATGGACACATGGGAGTTATTTCTGCAGGATTTGGTTCAGCTCCAGACTGTAGGCATCTAAACCTAATGTCTATCCAAGTATTTTTGTGTGAGCTACAGTCTGCATTCTCACTGTCATTGATGGGTATGTACTCAGTACTGACCAAGGACCTAGAAAGTAGTTCAGCTAGCCCAGCATAGGAACTTTCTTCAGAGAAAGCTGAATTTCTCTCCAGACTCCATTGACTGTATTAACTAGACAACTAAATCCTACCCATGATGTCTTGATGGCTATCTTATACAAATATGCCCTCTCTTTATAGAGAGGGTGGTCAAGCACTGGAACAGGCTGCCCAGGGAAGTGATGCCCAGAAGTGTTCACAAACCATGTAGGTGAGTGACATGGTTTAGTGGTGGCCTTGGCAGTCCTGGGGTAAAGGTTGGACTTGATCTTAAAGGTCTTTTCCAACCTAGTTGATTCTATGATTCTCTTTATATAGAAAGATGGCATGGTCTGCACAAGGTAAAGGCAAGGCTTTTGTGCTGCCTGCAGAAATCTCTCCACTGCAAGTGTCGGATCAGTTCCCAAAAGCCTTGTGTTTTCAGGTGCAGTTTTGTTCAAACTGTTAACTGGTGCTTGTGCTCCCAAAGGCCTCCTTACCTTTACATGAAAAAGAAGACTGTACTTGTGTGGGTCCTTGGTTTCTTTGGATATTTGATCTACCAGATTATCAACTAAGTCTACAAAAACACAAGAATATAGTGTGAAAATAACCAATGTTCAGTCAATCCAGGATTTTCTCTCCAAGAGGTAGGAGAAGTTTTAGGGGGTGTTTCTGTTGATTTCTTGTTGACCAAGCATAATGGTTGAGTCCCTGTAGTGTATCTGGTATCAGAGTTACCACAGAGAAAAAAAAAATTGTACCTTTGGTTAATATAAACAAAATAGAATGAGAAGTGAATTCTGGTACAAACCCATCAAAAGTGTGCAATGACTTGGTTGTGTATTTTCAGCATATCATATTGTTATTGCTGGGTTACCCAAAAATGTCTTCAGTTAAAAACCAGCTGGCATTTTCTTCCAGGCACAGGCCTTTTATGTTGCAAAGTAATTTTTTAAACAAATTAACTCACATCTTACACAAATAAAATAATGTTGTGTGAGAGGTCTAAAGTAATTTCTGGTTAATGTTTCGTTGACAACTTGACTCATTTTATTTGACTCATTAAATTTCTTATCAGTTAATGAAACTGCTACACTACTGTAATTAATTTTCCCATTAATTCATTTAGTTCCATGTGGCATTGAGGAAAATAGCTTATTATATTATACAGAAATAAGTTATGAACTAACATACCTCATTACAGATACATTGGTGTATATATATTCATCTACAATGCCAAAATGAGCTCCTATGGTTTGGCTGTCCTAGAAATCACCTCTAGCTAGGCAATCATGGATAAGCAAAACATTTTTTGCAGATGTGAAAATCCTTTTTTGCTTATAAAATCACTGCAATAAAAACCAGAAGATGTTTATGGCAGATCTGGGTCACTAAGACAATGTGATGTGCGCTACCGAGATGTTAGAAGCAGCAATGTATGAGTCCTTTTAGAGACAGGGGATGCAAAGGATCTCCTTGGTTACCAGGGTCTCATCCCTTTTAGTCATGTCATATAATCTCTTTGGTAAAATGATCAAGCTCCATCTTTATCCATTACTTGCCTCAGAAGACTTTTCTACTTGTGTTGTGATTAGAAAGCTTTTATTAGTTTGTGGTTCAGTTTTTTTAATGGATAGATTTTATATTTTTTTTTTCCTTCTGGCTGCATCTTTGTCAGTTTGATTTTTTTCTTTTTCACACAGGCATAATTTGAGTCATGTGCAGCATTCTGGATGAGGCCTTAGCAGTGTTGTCTATAATGCATTAATATTTTTTAACTCATTTGGGACTCCACAGAATAATGTTCATCACAGTCTTCATTTTAATAGCACATAGTGACTTAGATACCTGGTTGTTTCTCCTCGGTTGCTTCCAACTGACAAGTCCCATAGATGAGATTACTACATAAGATCTTGCACTTTGACCCATTAGTACCCTTCCCTTCTGTGACAGAAATCTAGCATTTTGTATTACAGAATAGAATCATAGAATCATAGAATAATTAGGGTTGGAAAGGACCTTAAGATCATCAAGTTCCACCCCCCCTGCCATGGGCAGGGACACCTCACACTAAACCAGGTCACCCAAGGCTCTGTCCAACCTGGCCTTGAACACTGCCAGGGATGGAGCATACCCAGCTTCCCTGGGCAACCCATTCCAGTGCCTCACCACCATTACAGTAAAGAACTTCTTCCTTATATCTAATCTAAACTTCCCCTGTTTAAGATTTAACCCATTACCTCTTGTCCTATCACTACCATCACTAGTCCCTCCCCAGCATCCCTATAGGCCCCCTTCAGATACTGGAAGGCTGCTAAGAGGTCTCCACGCAGCCTTCTCTTCTCCAGGCTCAGCAGCCCCAACCTTCTCAGCTTATCTTCATACAGGAGGTGCTCCAGTCCCCTGATCACAGTCGTGGCCCTCCTCTGGTCTTGTTCTAGCAGTTCCATGTCCTTTTCGTGTTAAGGACACCAGAACTGCACACAATACTCCAAGTGAGGTCTGAAGAGAGCAAAGGGGCAGGATCACCTCCTTCTACCTGCTGGTCACGCTCTTTCTGATGCAGGATACAGTTTGCTTTCTGGGCTGCGAGTGCACACTGAAGCTGGCTCATGTTCATTTTCTCATCAACCAGCACCCCCAAGTCCTTCTCCACAGGGCTGCTCTGAATCTCTTCTCTGCCCAACCTGTAGCTGTGCCTGCGATTGCTCCCACCCAGGTGTAGGACCTTGCACTTGGCATGGTTAAACTTCATGAGGTTGGCATCAGCCCACCTCACAAGTGTGTCAAGGTCCCTCTGGATGGCATTCCTTCCCTCCAGCGTATCAACCGAACCACACAGCTTGGTGTCATCAGCAAACTTGCTGAGGGTGCACTCAATCCCACTGTCCATGGTCAGTGACAAAGATGTTGAATTCAAGACTGGTCCCAACACCGATCCCTGAAGGACACCACTCGTTACTGGTCTCCAGCCGGACATTGAGCCATTGACCACAACTCTTTGTGTGCAGCCATCCAGCCAGTTCTTTATCCACTGAGTGGTCCATCCATCAAATTGATGTCTCTCCAATTTAGACACAAGGATGTTGTGCAGGACAGTGTCAAACGCTTTGCACAAGTCTACGTAGATGACATTATGTGAGAAATTCCAGTAAGAAGAGTTTAAATTAAACTTTTTAAATTAAACTTTTTAAAATTCAAACTTATAAAAACCTTACTGAGATAAGTGGGTTGATGAATAACCTTATGGTTGCTCAAACACTAGGGCCTCAGTACAGTTACCCACACATCAGTGTCTAATCCCGTAGGAAGGCCACCTGGCCTCCAGCTGCTTCTTGAGAAGGATATTGGCTCCCCATTTGTCACAGCTGCTCTCCCTGTTCAAACGCTCAAGTTTGTGGTGGACAGACAACAGAATCCTGCCCTGGGGCTGAGATTCAGGTCCAGACTGAAGTCTTAACCACCAGGTTAGGTCTTCACAGTCTAGGTAGCTACAAGCAAATTAGATGTCTGTGCTTAAAATCATTACAAGGTAGTCAATAGAGCAGGTTGGTTCTAGAGCACATTGCTCAGCTATCCAGATGTGAAAGAGTTGAAAGAAATAATAATTCCCATTGAGAAGTCAGAGAATGAGGGTGCTTGCTAAAGGCTTTTTGTCCTTTCAGAGGAAAAAATAAAACATTTGCACCACAGTAAGGAAGAAATGAGAAATTAGAATGATGGTAAATACATCTCCCATTTCTTCATTTCTGATCTTCAGCTACCCAGTAAGGCAGTAATGTTGGGACACAGAATATGAATGAATCTGAACAAGTCAATAGGAAGTGAGAATTCCGAGCTAGTGTAATTCATCCCACAAAGCAGGGCTCCTCTACCATTTATTCTTGTTGTCTTCAAGGCTCCTTATGTAAATATTTGGGATTTTGGCAGAGTACTTTCTCTTGTTATTGAAGTGAAACATTTGCTGCAAGCATACTGAATGAAGTCTGCTTCATAATTATTTGCAGTAACAACCCAGAAACAGAGACTTACGGTTGTAAGACTGCCAATTCTGTATTAATGTGATCTTCTTTTCTCCCTCTCCCGGCTCCAGCAAGCACGCAGTTGGTGTAGGAAGTCTGCAAAGCAGAGCAAGCAACCATATCCATCTGTGTCAACAGATTCCTGCTTCACCACACTGCCAGCCTTTCTTCCTCAGAGCCACCCATCTGTCCCTGAACAACCAAAAGAAATGGGTCAAGACAAGGCACATCACACAAACAGCCTTGGTCATTATCTTGGTTTCTCCCAGCAGGACTTGAGACACAGTGGTCAAGGATTCACACACAGATGCAGCAGTGCCTCCAGCATTTTGTGGTCATTTCAGCGAAGCAAGTCGCTGTTCTGCTTGCCCACAGTGAGCTCCTCTTCAGCCTCAGAGACTTCTCATTTCAGTGAACCATTTCAGTTTTTAAATACTGGGTCACCTGAAACTAGGTTAAAAACATGGAGATGCAGCCCCAGGCTTAACATTGATGACTTGGAGGGTGCCCAGGAGACTGATGTAGACACAGGGATGAAGCTGTCCTTCTCAGACCTGTCTGTGGTCTCCGCATACTCTGCTCTTAATGGATTTTTCAATGACTTGGAAGCCTCTCTTCCCCCACAAAAACAAAGTGTCAGTAAGGCTAAACAGGCAGCCACTGGTGGAAGGCCTGTATCAGCCATGTGCAATACCTTTGAGTCAGTTGATTCTTCAATGCCTTCTCTATCTGAATGGTCTTCCAGCTCATTCACATCAGCATCTCTCTCCAAGCAGCACAAACAGTCCTCAAAAGCAGCTCCTTGTTCTCTGGATGATCATGGAAGTGTTTGCTCAGTTTCATCAGTTAATGAAGAAGAGTTTTACATCTAAGGTGTCTCTACTTTACACCTTACAGGGCAAACGTGGTTTACTTGTGAATGACAGCAGCGGGCCCAGCTTGAGCTTGAAGAAGGTTCTTTGCTGAGGAGCAGCTGATGCAGCAGATAATGCTAAATATTTGAAGAAAACACTCAGATCCCTCAGAGATGTGTGTCCCCAACCTATGTACAGTGAAGTAGTCTGAGCTTGCACCCTGTACCTTTGTACTGGAGGAGATGATCAGCACTGAGGCTTCTCCACAGCAGTGCAAGGTGGAAGGTTGCTTTGACTGACCCTTGATGGTGAAGACAATGCCGGAAGAGGCACATAGTAATACATTTTTCTTTTGCAGAAAAGGAAGAGTAATTTCTGATACCAAACTGCTTTAACTTTTCTGAGAAATTCCCTGAACTCAGGAAAGATGGAAGGAGAAAGGGGTCTTCTTTCTCTTTCACAAGTTCCAAAGGCAGCTCTAAGCACAGCAGATCCCAGTAGCACATCTCCAGTAGAGTCAGACAAGAAGTTTTCTGTGAGGACACACACAGTTCCTTCTAATTTCTGAGAGCTGGCAGTGGTGAGAGGGGTGAGAAGTTTCATTCCTTCCCCAGGGAAGAAGAAGCTCCACTATATCTGATGATAGTCCAGGATGAGGAAAGTGCCAAAAGGGGAAACCTTACAGAACATTTTCAACTCATATTCTTTCCAGCTGGAAAGAAGCCATCTGGGCTACTGTCTGAACCCTGTGGACAGTGGTAACCCAAGTAAACCACTTATAATTCAGGCAGTACAGAGTTTACCTTTTTGGAATTCAAATCAAGGAAGATAACCCATCATTTTTATACAATGCTACATCACCAGTCCCAAATATATAGCAGCTCCTTATTTTTTAAGGGATTGTTATTTTTCCACTAAAAATAATTAATGCAGAAACTTATTCTTTGTATTTCCAGTTCAAGCATACTTCTCTCTCAGATACCTCCCTCCAAAGAGAGAACAACTCAAATTTTATTGGATTTTCAAGTAAATTTTTAAGTACGTGTTCTTGATAACTTGTTTTGCTCCAATTAATTTGGTATTAAAATCAAAAAGTAAGTTAAAAGCTATTACTGTGACAGCTAAGTACTTTCACCAGGATTTAAGTTGTATAAACAGATTGCATCATGAAGAGTTACATTTTTGGCAGAGAAGAGGCACTGATTGTAGCTCTGATCTAGCCAATGAGAAAATGAACATTTTAAAATGTGTATGTATAATGCTGGATGTAAGCTATATACAGATACAGATGCTGAAGACTTGCCATGATGACATTGTGGTGGATAGAATAAAAACAAATTTGTGGAGAAAAAATGTTTGCTATATTACCAGGCAGTTTTAATCAGAAGACTTGCTGCTTGGGGGGGGGGGGGGGATAAAATGAAAAAAGCTCATACATACTCTAAATAACAGTTACAAAAAGTGGAAGAGTTTCTTCCTGTTCCCCTGGCTCATTTAAGTAAATGCACAGTTTGATACAAACAATTCTGGAAGGAAGCCTGGGAGAAACTAAGTACAGGTTTATAGGAAAGGAGGGGGAATTCCATTAAACCTCCACCCCCAAAACAGAACAGGCCAGAGAGATCATCAAGAGTCAGGATGTTGCTCCTCAAGGCTTTTTCCATTTGCTGTCGTTTTCTCCCCACAAAGAGGCATCAGGCTGAAGTCCAAGTCTCCTCTCTGTGAGATGCTATCATAACATGTACCAGAGGTAGATTTTGTCTTTTGTGCTAAACACAGTGTATAAATAGGAGCAATCTATTCAAGCTCTAAAAGAACAGATTACCAGCCTTCTCCCACTCTCCCAAGCTGTTTAGGCTTACTGCAGTTTTGAGTAAACTGTTCTCTTAAGAAATACCTGGAAGCGGAAACAGCACCAATCAAGGATTTGTCATGATGCGCACGTGTTTACTTCTCTATGCTCATTCAGAGTCCACACAGCCTTTCCTCTGACTTTCCTGGCCTTTTGGTCAAACCCCCTCTGTACAAGTGGACCCAATTTATGCAAAGTTGTGCTCCACATTATTGTTTGCACCCTGTCAAAATACATGTAAAACACTGTGAGGTCAGCCCAGCAGCTTTTCACATCAGCTTGCAGTTCACCATACAAGCAGTGATGCCTATGACAGTCAGGCTGCACAGATTTAAATTTTTGATTCCCTATTTTCTGTCATATTCGTGGTAGTACAAAAATAAGCGATGAAATAACATTGCAAATTTATGGGACAGCCATTTTATCTACACTAGTCACTTCCAGATATGACAACCAACAGGATAAAGTCTGATAAAAATTACACTATTCATTATTTGCAACAGAAAAATAAAAAGTCTTTTCACAATTTTTTAATAACATAGATAACATTTGATCTGAACATGAAATCAAAAGCTGGTTTGAGCTGATGTATGCCTGATCCTGGCGTTGTGCCAATATTCAGACTCCTGACAAAAGCTGATTGGGGCTTTTAATGAAGAGGAGGCTTTGAAACATCTTTCTGCCTAGGGTGTGCCTCTGCAGGAAAGGGTTCAGCACATCTGGGTGCTGTCTTCTGACACAGCAGGAAACACTGATACTGGAGCTCTACAAACAAGCACAGGGTACCTCAAGTGTCATGACTGAGGCTCATGTGTGGCATTAACTGCCAGCTCCACAAGCATCTCAGCTCCAAATTTTACCATCTTAATTCTAATGGGAAGAAAACCAAATGAGCTTTCATAGACTCTGAATTTACGCTGTCTCCACTGGGTTTAATTGTTTACATTCATGGTGCTTGTAACCAAATTTTGCAATAACTGAGTGTCATACTGTCAGGAAAACCAGAGATGATCGTGTACAGAAAACTTTTTGTCTATAATAAAGGAAGCAAGATTTTGAAGAGTGCTTCACTGAGGGTAGGCTTTGTTAATTCTCTTGCCATTATTTAAGAAGGGGCTGATCTCTTCAGAGAACATGCACAAGTTTCACAGCATGTACTTATTGTTTTGGTTAAATTATGAACAATGTCATTTTAGAACTACAGGTTTTCCCTGAAATTTCACTCCTTCTCACCCCAGAATGCATTACTTCTGTGAAATAAAATAGAAATGAAAAGTCAGTTGCTCTTAATCTTCTACATATTCATTTATGAAGTACTGCAGACTCACCAACTCTTTAACCGGGCTTCAAACTGACTGCAGTGACACAAGCTCTCCAGCTCTTGGCAGTGTGTGTCAGTGGGATAATTACAAAATAAGCATAGCAAAAGTGTTTTTATGTTGGTCAGCTTTGCCTCTGCAGGCCAGATCTTCTGATTCTCACTGTGGTGATGTAAATCGTTTGCTCCAGTAAAGCTGAATGATAAAACAGAAGCTGCGACACATACTGGTAATCTTGCATGCTTAAATCCCATCTTGAATTGTTTCGTGTATGTTGATCTTCAAAGTAGTCCTTCCCTCTTATTTCCATCAGTGTGTGCTGTTATACATTTCTTTATTCCTATCATGGGACATGCCTGCATGTCACCATTACATTGTATATGCAAAGCTATGTGGGTTTGGCTTTGTTTAGTTTTTATGGTTTATGGTTTAACATTGTGGGTTTTATATATGTTTATGTGGCAGTTATAGAGTTGTAGAAACATCAGGAGTTGGAAGAGGCCTCTGAAGGTTGTCTAGTTCAAAGTGCCTGCTGAAAGAAGGCACAAAGCTGCTCAAACCTCAAAGCTTTGTAAGTTAAATCTGTTTAGGACTTTGTCCGGTCAGGTTTGAAAATATCCAAAGGTGGCAATTTCACAGTATCACTGGGCAGTGTGTGCCAGTGCTCAGCCATTGCCATGGTGTAGAATTGCATCCTAATCTGCAGTCAGAATTTCACACATTTGAGCCTGTGATCTTTCCCTCTTGTTGTTTCACTGTGTACCTCTGAGAAACTCTGGTTCTGTCTTCTCTGTAGTTCCCCCTTCAGGTGCTGAAAGACTCCAGCATCTTCTTGTGCAGCATATGCTCTAGCTCCCTGACCACCTGAACTCTCCAGTTTGTCAATCTCTCTCTCGTACTGGGGAACCCAAAACTGTATGCAGCCCTCTGAATGTGGTCTGAGGAGTGCTCAGTAGGCAGGAAGAATGATTTCCATCAACCTGATGGCAACTCCCTGGCTTATACTACCCAGTACGTTGCTGGCCTTACCACTGCAAGGGTTCACTGCTTAATCGTGTTCAACCTGCTATTCACTGGGACCCAAGGTCCTTTTCTGCAGAGCAATTCCCAAGCCAGTAGGTGCTTAGCTTCTGCTGTACCAGGTTAGTCCATGCGAGGCGCAGGACTTGCACTTGTCTTTATTGAACTTCCTGAGGTTCTCATTGGCACCTTCCGCCAGGTAGTGAAGGTCTTTGTGAATGGCAGCCCTGCCCTTCAGTGTATCACTCACTCCCCCAGTTGGAGGGGCATCTAGAAACTTGCTGAGGGTGTTTTTCAACACCTTACGCAAATCGTAGACAAAAATGTTGAATAGCACTAGACCCAGTTTTGACCTCAGAAGAATGTCACAGCTGGATACCAGTTAGATTTAAACTGTTGTCCAGTACCCTCTGAGCCTGATGATCCAGTCAGTTATTCACCCACATTGTAGTACACCAGTTTACTCCATGTTTCCTTGATTTGGCTGCAAGGGTACTGTGGGATACTATGCTGAAACCCTTGATAAATTCAAGGAAAATTATATTCACTGTTATTTCTACACCCACCAAAGAAGCCATCTCATTAAAAGTGGCAATCAGGTTGGTTAAGCATGACTTACCATTACATGACACCCCACTTGAAGTGTTGTGTGCAGTCCTGGTGTCCTCAGCATAAAAAGGACATAGAACTGTTGGAACAAGTCCAGAGGAGGGCCATGAGGATGATCAGGGGACTGGAGCACCTCCTGTATGAAGACAGGCTGAGGAAGTTGGGGCTGTTCAGCCTGGACAAGAGAAGGCTGCGTGAAGACCTCATAGCAGCCTTCCAGTATCTGAAGGGGACCTATAGGGGTGCTGGGGAGGGACTCTTCATTAGGGACTGTAGTGACAGGACAAGGGAGAATAGGTTTAAACTAAAACAGGGGAAGTTTAAATTGGATATGAGGAAGAAGTTTTTTACTGTAAGGGTGGTGAAGCACTGGAATGGGTTGCCCAAAGAAGTGGTAAATGCTCCATCCCTGGCAGTGTTCAGGGCCACTTTGGACAGAGCCTTGGGCAGCATGGTCTAGTGCGAGGCGTCCCTGCCCATGGCAGGGGGGTTAGAACCTGATGATCTTAAGGTCCTTTCCGACCCTAATCATTCTATGATTCTATGATAAATACATGCCAGCTCACCTTCTTGTCCATTTTGAGTGTAGAAATGGCTTTGAGGATTTCTTGATAATCTTACAGGGGACTGAGGTTAGACTGATCAGCCTGTGGTTCCCCAGATCATCCTTCTTGTCTGTCTTTAAGTAGGTTGTGACATTTTCTTTCTTCCAGCCATCTATAACTTCACCGATCACCAATCTTTCAAAACTGATAGAAGTTTCACAGTGACCTTGGCTAGTTCCTTTGGCACTGTCAGATGTAGCCTGTCCAGTCTCACAGACTTGTATATGTCCAGCTTATTGCATCCCTGACTCAGTCTGCTAGTGTTATTAGTAACTTCCTCCTCCAAGCTTTGCTACTAGATGCAGACACATCTTCTGAGTAAACATCTTGTGAGTGAAGACAGGTTTTTCTGAGAACATTTTCCAGTTACAGAAGACAGGAACTGCTCTAGTCTGTTCTGAACCAGTTTCCAATTGCTCAAAGAAGCCTTTGTTTGTCTTCTCTTCTTGATTGAGTGGGTTGTGAGAGATGCACACACTAATATCCTTGCTGTTAGCTTCTCCTGACCCATGAGCTCTTGACTGTCTCATCCTCTGTTCCCTTGCAAAGTGATGCCACTCAGTTGCCTAGAACGCTAGTTGCCCACCACCATCTGCTGTCATTTCCTAAAGAACTGTATCCAGCCATGGCAGCTCTAGTTACACAGATGTCTCATCACATCTATCACATCTGGTTTTACATCCTGAGACTGTTGAAGTCTTTCAGGAGTGATTTTCAGGTTCAGCAGCATGAGCATCGGCTCTGGACAGTCCATCTGCCTAGGACAATTGAGCTACCTTGGTCTTTGGTAAGACAGTCCCATTTCACAAAGGGCTTTGGAAACAGAGTATAACTGTGGGGGTGTTAACTATTGAAGAAATCAGGATATTGGAACACATTGGTGTTTTCAGTGGCTGGTATCAGCAAGGAGATGAGCTCTTGTGATCCTGTACAGAAGCTTTTGAGTCCTGCAGTTTCACGCTAAGGTAGCTTGGACACCTGAACTGCCTTCATGAGACCA